GGGTTTTATATTTTTCAGAATTAAGTATATTCATTGTGACAAGAACCTTCGTTTGGTTCCAACATTTTGGACTAAAAATTTATTAAAAGCAGATATGAACGTTATCGCTAAATGTTTGGTCGCAACAGCCTTCGCGAGGTTAATCCTGCAACCTCTAGCTGAAATATGGGCTTTCAAGCAATATTATAAATAGAGAAACTAGTCCAATGACGAGTGACCAACATAGTCTGAATACTAGTATACTTATAAAAAGGGTTTTCTTTACAATCTCGTTTTACATATACATTTACATTCGCTTATCATAAAAAGATAGCTTACATATTCTGTATGTCAAAAGATAGCTAACATGCTCTGTATGTCAGAAGAAAGCTTACATGCTCTGTATGTCAGAAGAAAGCTTACATGTTCTGTATGTCAGAAGAAAGCTTACATGTTCTGTATGTCAGAAGAAAGCTTACATGTTCTGTATGTCAAAAGAAAGCTTACATGTTCTGTATGTCAAAAGAAAGCTTACATGTTCTGTATGTTAGAAGAAAGCTTACATGTTCTGTATGTCAAAAGAAAGCTTGCATGTTCTGTATGTCAAAAGAAAGCTTACATGTACTGTATGTCAAAAGAAAGCTTACATGTTCTGTATGTCCGAGGATAACTTAAATGTACTGTATCTCAAAAGATGCCTTAAATGTACTGTATGTCAGAAGATAACTTAAATGTACTGTATGTCAGAAGATGCCTTAAATGTACTGTATGTCAAAAGATGACTTAATTGTACTGTATGTCAAAAGATAACTTAAATGTACTGTGTGTCAAAAGATGCCTTAAATGTACTGTATGTCAGAAGATGCCTTAAATGTATTGTATGTCAGAAGATGGCTTACTGTAAACCAACTTTTATTCGCGAAGATTTTATTTCGCGATTTACCAGGGAAAAACTAGTTCGCTATGATTTATATTCGCGATAAGGTCTTTTCTGGATCTGTTTTTCATAGACACAGACACCTTAAGGACTGGTTCGCGGCGAGAAATATTCGCGATGACGAGGTTCTCGCGAACTTCGCGAAAATTTCTCGCACGCGAATAAAAGTTGGTTTACAGTATATGTTCTGTATGTCAGACGAAAGCTTAAATGTACTGTATGTCAAAAAATGCCTTAAATGTACTGTATGTCAGACGAAAACTTAAATGTACTGTGTGTCAAAAGATGCCTTAAATGTACTGTATGTCAGAAGATGGCTTAAATGTACTGTATGTCAGAAGATGCCTTAAATGTACTGTATGTCAGAAGATGGCTTAAATGTACTGTATGTCAGAAGATGGCGTACATGTACTGTATGTCAAAAGATAGCTTACATGTACTGCATGTCAAATGATGCCTTAAATGTACTGTTTGTCAGATGATGGCTTAAATGTACTGTATGTCAGAAGATAGCTTACATGTTCTATATGTCAGAGGATGGCTTACATGTACTGTGTGTAAAAAGATAGCTTACATGTACATATCGATTCTACAAAAGCTAAAAAAAAAAACTTGCATGAACTTTGTGACGACTCTGCAGTAAATCAGAGTATATCTTAAATGTTTCAGTACATATAACTCAGTAGTTATTTTTATGCACATATCGATAAAACAGTAATTCTGAAGATACCTTCAATACACATAGGGATGTCATAGAGAACATTTCTAGATAATAAATACCCATAAACAAAAAACACCGCGCTTAAAAAGTCAAATAAAAAGGACCTTCCTATAAAGACGGGGTTTGTTCCTGACAATCTAGACTTCACGCCATCGTTTATGGCTCGTAAAATTATTTCTTAGCATTATTGGTTTGTTTTATTGTATATTAAAATACACATGTAATCGATGAATGGTGCGAAATTGTGATGTTTGTATTCCTTGATAAAATACCGTGAATATAATTACACCTAGAGCTCCCTGCTAAGTCTGTTCTGTTTAACAGTGTCACAAGGATATACATTAGGGTGTTACATGGGAACACGGCCCTACAAATGGAATGTCGGCTACCACCCGCCATGACGCCGTAATCATAGGGCAGGGGACACGCTTAATCCAAATTTATAACAATATTTAAATAAAACACCCGAAAATACAAAAGATCTTTATATCAACATAATAAAAGTAGGACTGTCCCTACCCTCTGTAAAATTCAATTATTGCCTGTATAACACCCCTTCTTAAAAGCTTTACAGACAGAATTGATTGATTTACCTGAATACATTACATTTTAGGCTGCGCACTTAGAGGGGTGCGTTTAGAGTCACAGATTATCAAAAACACATATAAACCAAGATGCACTTTCTCATGTAGGTAATTGCTTTTTTACCGTCAATGGCAGCAATAAAATCATTATGAAAAAAATTAAAATTGGGGTCTGGGTATAACCAGAAATATTCTTTCTTAAGCAGTGATGATAGATTTTTTTCCGTGAGATTAAGCGATAAAATACATTCTGACTGGTTGCTAATGTAAACATTAGAAATGGATAATTAAAAGACTGGCGTTTTAGCGGCTTTCCCGGATATTAGAATATTTCTGGAATGAGAACACGAGCGGGGTGTCAATGGAGTCTTCCCGCATCAAAGCTATTATGAAGAGCCACTTGCAGTCAATTATAAATCAGCAAATCAAATTCAAGAGTTGCAACACTACGACAAACAGGGCCTGATTGCATTATAAAGGCACTTGCTGAGATATTAAACGCGCCAGAAACTGGGGGACAATAAATTTATTGCGATAAATTATTGCAACATATGAATTTGAAATTTGTTCAATTATGAAACGGTTCTTGAAACTTGACATGCTTTTCTCATGCTTACAAATAGGCCTACATGTACTATGTAACATTTTTTCACAAAGACAGAACGTTGACAGGACGTACGTTTCAAAAGAATTTTCCACAATACTTAAGCATGTGATAAAAAAAAACATTTATGTTAATTAATTTATTACAATTCATTTAAAAAAATAAATCAATAAACATTACATATACTGAAAATGTACGTGAACATATATTTCAGTTGAGATTAACTGGTATTTTAAAAATAGTTACGATGCTTATTGGTTAAAACAGAACTCATGCTTTTCAATATTTTCCCCTAAAAAATAACTACACATGCTAATCTGGCACAAATTGACTAATTATCTCAGTAAGTTCAAGAATTTTGTATCTCCCAATCTTTGAAAAGCCTAGTCTGCAAACAGATCGAAGTTCACATTATCTCTTATTCTGCAAGGTGTCAAAACACAAACATGAAAATTCCTCAATTCTTTTCGGAACCCTGCCGTGACATAGTTCCTCACCGAGGTATTCCGACAGGTTTACGATGTCTACATGCTTTATGAGAATTTAAATAATAATCAATCATCAGATGACATCTCCATTTCGTTTTCGTTTAGAACTTAATAAGACTTGATGATTCTAAATTATTACATGATGGATTGGCGCAGATTATAAACGCATACTCTCGGTCAAAAAGGGGGGCTTCAGATTAAATAAAACAAGAACATATATCATCTATTTTACAAACTGGTTGATTTGCATTCAAGAAAATCTACTTCTAACAACCTCGCTTGCCTACTCCCCTTACCCCCCCCCCCATATAACAATTCTCATTCCAAAGTTTATATCTCCTCCAATATTCAATATTCAACTTTATACGTATTAAATGTGAAAACATTGTGTAGTATAAGTACATTTATTTTCGTTAATTTTTACTTTAGCGATTTCGATGCCATGAAAATGTAGATATATATGCATAACCATTTTCGGATGTGCATTATTAAATCATTATACATCTGCAAGCGGCGCTTTCCATAGGTTCTAGTGAGAACAATATGTATTGTATATGTAAAGCTCTGTTCATAATTGATTTTCCCCCTAAATGCTTAATTACCACGTCTATATATAAATTAATTTTTAAAGTTTTTTGTGTGGCGAAAACTAAAGGAAATTATTATCAACTTCTTTTCTTTTTTATTCTAATACCTCATATATTTTTATACATTTTTGAATTTCTAGTAATCTGTATTTACAATGTTTTTGTATATACGTCTGTTTTAACTTTCCAGAATAATGTGACTGAAGACTGTTACAAAGTGTACCAACTCAGATGGCAAAACACAAATACAGCCCATCAACAGGAATATTTTGTAATAAATCAAACATCTCAGAGCCTGGGCTGATTTGTAATGCTCCGCCCTTTTGTCGTGCCCCTTAGGCCAATGAGAGCTAATTAAAGACAAGCTGGCACCTATAGTTTGTATTAATTCTCTATTAAAGCTATTTTCATTTGCCAATCAATGTTCTATTTTTTCATACTTTTCAATAAACCACCTATTTACTCTGTTTTATTGTTTCATACTTCAAATAATAAATGAATTTAGATCGTTTCGATAAAATAAACTGTGGTCTATACCAATCTTTTTATACATTCATTAACATTGTATCTTGTTCTTACAAGGAACATTTCTGAGGTTCAGAATAAAAAGATAGTTACAACAATGAACATTGTCAAATAAAAACTCCAAATAGACAAAGTTTAACTAATGGCTATATATCAATTTCTCTTAGGTAAAGTGTTATACATATAGAATCGACCTCCTTCTAATGTCATACTCGGGTATTTCTTTCTTTTCTTTTCGGATGGGTCGGGGGTGAGAAGGATGTAAAATTGTTTTTGCTAACGCTTGCATTTGTCACAGTGACTTAAATCCCAATTTTAGTCACACATTGGTGTCAGGAACTTAAGTCGCCATCACTGAAGACGCATACGGAATGTATCTTTTATTATACGTTTACTTCCAATTGCAGTTTAAAAACGTTCCTTCCTTAAATTAAGTTTTATTTTTTGATTTTTTAAAAGATTATTTAAGATTTTCAAATAGGGAACACTTAATCATGATAAATGATTGATCAGGTACGAATGAAATACCTTGATAGTTTGCTTAGCAAACACAGTAAGAAATACAGAAAACCTACCAGAAAATCGGTTACCGACCGTGTCTTTGAGAATCTCGCCATGTTCCCGGTCCGGTGTTAGGATGTCAAATCTGACATCAGAACCGAGGGAGCTTTTGAAGTGATTTATAAAGGCTGACCCTAAAAGGAAATCATAACCGTGAAACAGTCCTCTGCTATCCGTGTCGTAAATCAGGCTCACGCGCTTCCAGTTATGAATTCTCATCACGTCATCTACTAGAAATCTGGCCGTGCTGTCGAATCCCGGACCGATGCGGGTAAGTGTTTTATATTCCTCTGCTCTCTTTTTCCTGAAATCATGAGAAAGGCCACCGGGGGTTAGAATAGGCACATTCCAAAACGGGGCATACCCCGCTACAGGGGACAGGGTGTAATCCGCCACGGGTCCTAGAAAGAGGTTCTCTCCTCCCTGATGAATGAAATTAAAGAACTGTACTGGGCCCACAATAGAACTCTCCTTTGTGTCAACAAACGTGAGATTGAATTCATGGTTTGGAAGAATTTGACGTCGCTGCACTTCTGCTATTCCAAGTTTAATGGCAGGTTTAATTTTTGTCAGGGAAAACATTCTTTCCCTTGGAAACTTGGGGGCCATTGTAGTCAGTCTGAGCGGAATCCTTGCCCCCGACACACAGTATACACTCCATGTTAGAAGCAGCCACAGGAGGGTCATTCTGCACTGCCGGTGTCACACTTATCACTGTAAAGGCGCCCGTTACATTCCTGTTTTAAGCTTTTTACTGAAGACGACGGGGTTTCATTGACTTTTTCTTTACAGCACTCGTGTAAGTATTGACAAATTTTCAAATAAGACACGAAATGCCATATTTCTTATATTATGCAAATAGGTGAATAATTCCTCTGTACACAAGGTACGCCACAGGATCAAAGAGCCAAAGGCACTTTATCAAACGCACAGAAGACCCCCGAACACCCTCGCGGACGCCCTGCTTCTAATAAACACTTCTTTCTACACCAAATATATATAAACAACTTAAAACAAACAATGGTGATTATTTTTTCTTCTTTTTTAAACCCCACGATGTGTTTACTTTTATCAGAGTTTAGATCCTCAGGAGATCTAGATATGAGAGTCATCTCAACATAGGCCGAAGAACACTCTCTCCAGAACATATACCTTAACTAACTCTCCAACTCTCGTCATAAATCACGGCGATACCAAATCAAGTCTCTCCCTGTATTACGATAATTCTGTCCGTAGACTGCATAGATTCCTGGGTAGGCATTAAATTTAGATGATTCATATTCCCTGTGTAACAATACCTCCCCTGTTGAAATCCATTTCGACGGTGTCTAAACACACAATTTTTAATTTGACACATTCTTCATTGGGGAAGGCATTGTGAATCCAAATTTTTATTTCGTCTCATTATTCCTTGAAATAACTACCCACTAACAGAGATTAATTGATGATCGTTGATTCAATCTGTAGGAATCAGAGTAAACATATCCCGTATACTGGGCAAATACGGAGGCTGTTAACGTCCAATTAACCCTGAACACCGGCGTTAGCCGTGCTCTTCAAGAGTCGTCAAGACCCGGATCAGTGTGATCACTTTCGACACCTTATGTAACGAATCTTCGAATCAGTACTGGGGGTTACTGATATAATCCATCTCCCTGACCCTCATAATGCTCGCTCTATAATGGATCTACATCTCAGCTGATCCGCTGCATTCCCCGCACCTTATATCTCCTCAATAAATTATGGATTTATTTTTTCCCTGTCTCTTTAATGTATTTTCTTCCTTATCTGACACGACACCTTTTTTTGTATCAAAACTTAAGTAGACAAATTGTTACACATTATAGCTAATGATACATAACCCGTAAGACGATTTAAGGTGTAAAAGGAAAAGCCAAGACTTTAAAATCATCACTTAAGGAACACTTGACACATGGATCTGCCATTCGTGGAGACCAGAGATACCCCCCATACCATACCTCCCCTCAAACTGTGCAGTTTGTTCAAATGTACACATTTATTTGTAAAGACGCTTTTTAAATTCCTGTAATGTTGGGAATATTTACATTACGTAAACATTATTGAGTGTTTAATGGAAGTGTTTTTTGCTATGTTTGCTTACCCCCAACGCCATGCTGTGGTTATAATTAGCTTAAAATGTTTCCAAAATGGCTTTTGTTTGGGGGAAATGTTTGACTTGATCTCGAAATGTTATAGAAAACAGACCCTGGGTAGGCCAGTGATGGATAGTTGTGCAAGCAAAGAAAAAGACATACAACAGAGAAAAAAAGAACACAGGTTTTAAAGAAACCTGGTCCATGAGTAAAAGGTTAAAATAAACAGGTGTACCTTTATTCTAGTTTGGAATAAATGGTCCAATAAAAAAATAAAAATCTTGACTATAATTGATTTTTTTAAAACTCGGGGTTCAATAGTGTTTAAGTTCAGCTTTGTAGCGTTCATGATTAAAGTCGATTAGTTGGTTGTAAATTACTGATAATACTGGGGTAGAGCTTGTATTAGGTTGATTAAAATCGACGTTCACTAATTAATTGCATGTATATGACTCTGTGAGAGATTGAATTAACGATCCCAATAATTATTTCCTCTTCTTGTAGAAATAAATAGTTTTTAATGAAGAAAAAATCGGTTTATGAGTACTTATTCCGAGCAAATAAAACGAAAGAACTAAAATTAAAATGATGGTATGAAGGCAAATAAGAAAGCCTGGCTAAAAATGTACGTAAATATTATATGGCTACACGTAGTTGACTTCCTATGACTTCCAAGAATATAACTTACTATACACGTACTAAGACAGGAAATTAAAATAATAATATAACTCCGAAAGGAAACAGGTCTCCCAGGACTCTGTAAAGATTGTCGACAGAGGGAATATTAAAACTAACCAACCAACACGAGCAACTAATTTAATGCTCGCTGGTTAAATCATAAAATCCTGACATTCCACGACAGAAACTTCCAAGATGCAGAATGCAGTAAAGGAAAATCAATTTGTCATAAAAAATAGTTTGAAAAAAGGCTGACAGAAATATTTTTGTTGGCAAAAGAGAAGGGAAGATAAAGGTGCTTATTATTGTAAGTAATTAGCTCGCCTTTCCTCTATGCATTGTGATTTGGACAATTCAGTAACTACATGCAACTCGTAACTACGTGTCGACCGAGAAATCCCTATTATCTTCTGTATATTCTGATTTTCCACGTTCTTTGTTATAATGAAAACATCTACATGTTCCACTATTTCTTGTTAGAAGCCTATATTATATTACTGCAATATTTCCATGCATTTGTTAGATCCGCCTATTCACTTACCCCCATACCTTCCTCCCACGTCCTCCACCAGTGTTTTAGTATAATTCCTACTGGAGGGGACATGATGCAGCAATGAGGTGTTAATATCGTAATCCAAGTGCTTAGAATTATCCCGCAGTTGTACGACAAAAGCTGATCCCAAAAGGTAGTCAAACCCACTAAACAATCCTCGGTCATTTCTATCATACAAAAGGCTGATCTTCCGCCATTTGTAACGCTGCAGAATCTTATGGTCTATAAAGGCGGACACACTGTCAAAACTTGGCCCTGTTCGAATTAAGGTGGGGTACTCGCTTTTCCTATTAACTTTAAAATCATGTGAAAATCCTCCGGGGGTCAGGATAGGGATGTTCCAGTAGGGGGCGTAACGACCAACCGGTGAGAGGGCGTAGTCCCCCACTGGTCCCAGAAACACGTTCTGTCGACCCTCTCTGACTATTTTAAATGCTTCAACAGGGGCTTTAATGGCAGATTCCTCCGTATCAACAAAGGTAACATTTACATGAAGTAAAATTTCCCGCCTTTGCACTTCCTTAATTCCAAGATTAACCGCTGGGATGATTTTTGACAACGAGAACAGGCGAGACTTTGGCGAGGCTGGAGCCATAACGGTTAAGGTAACGGATGTCTCCGAGCAATAGATTAAACTACAGAGAACAGCTAAGACAGCTGTCCTCCGATACCACGACATGGTCAGTAGTCCACACTATCTCCCACCTCTAAAGGCTAGGACTTTTTCTCAATCATACTTAAATGCATTTTGATGTTCTCATCACTTGATAAGTTCTTTCTAGATTTTCTGCCATATAATTTGGTAAAGGCATCCAATTAGTATAGTAAATTTAATTAAAGCCAGCAAAGGCCAAGCAAGCAGGAGAGATATTTCTGTGCATACAAATTAAAGCAGCTTTTGTGATACTCTGTCAGTCGGCGGTACTCGGCGGCCAGGAATTAAGTGGAAAATCACACTTATTTGCTCGCAAGTCCTGAAATCAACAGCAATATCATTTTGTCTTTTAGACATTTATTAATGTTAATCCACGAAGGATGCTATCATTCTCTTTCCATGTTCAGGTATTGGAATTAGAAAACTAAAAACGTTCTTTTAGCATTGATATATAAAGTGTATTCTTCCAATACGAAAAAAATTAATATTTTTAATTTCACCACCCGCTGCTTTTGGCGAGAGTTTACTATTTCCAGGAACATACAAAGGAAAATATCAAGTCAGTTTAATTTGTTTTTTACGATATAAATATATCAACTGACTGTCACCTATCAACGCCTGCAGCTCCAAGACAAACACTAGCACGTTAACAAAGAGCAGAGCTATTTTTCTAGTAATATTGGAAATAGACAAATGAGAAAGGTGTCCATTAGCGACCGGAAATTTCTAAACTACGAACCCGATTTATAAACCTGTCTCCCTTTGACGGCACGAGAGCCCCCGGCTGCCACTGCGTTTTTCTTTGTCCTACAGCGTTATCCTGGAGGATATCAGTTGACAAATTAGCACGCAGCATCAGTATGTAATGCGATTTCACAAAAAGTACAGAAGCCTAAAAACGGTTATAAAGCGGATATAAAAAACATCAACTAATATATTTTGTCAGATTCGAATTATAGTTTTAAACGCATTAACACACGAGGTATCTGCATATGTTTTGTTACATTCCCATGTGAATCTGTACGTAACAGTGCATTCATACATATTTCATGAATTTTAAGCTTATCAGGAATGTATTTAGGGAAAACATTGTTAGAATTATAAATATAAGCTAATGAAACAAAAGATTTAAAAAACACAAATAGCCTGAAATGTTGGTTATCATAATTTTCAGACTTAAAAAAATATTGTAAATTGATTTAAAAATATATCCAAATAAAACGTGTTAAGCCATCATTAAAAATGTCTTTGTTTCCCCTAACCCGACCCTAAATTCTCAAGTTGGGTAGGTAGGTTGGTAAATAATTGTTTTTCTGACAGCAACTCTAAAGATACATTCTAAATTTTATAGAATAATACCCTAATAAATAAGAAAAGTACATAAAAAACATTTGTAAACAGCATATCATACAGTGTACCAATGCCGTCTAAAAAGCAACATTCATAATTATTATTCATTTGAGATTTTAGGGGGCATCCTATGCCGACCGTGTGTCTCTTGTCATGCGGGAAAATTTGGGGGAAAGAAAATTAAGTCTGTAAATAATGGCCTTACAATAAAACGAAAACAGTCACCATTTGACTTAATGATAGGTTGCACATGTATTTGCTGACAAAGTCATTGCATCGACATTTGCCTTCAAACGAGACTGTTGATATCCGTGTTCCATTGACTTGTTCATCAATAGCTTGCCTCGATTTAGAAACTGTTCATTACGTAAAACATGCTCTTGCATATGGAATCAAGTGAGAGGCATAAACTAAAAGTATAGGAGATAAGTGAGGGGAAAAGACAATTGAAGTCACGGTGTTTATCATAAAGCTTTGTTGTTTTGTTATCATTAAAGTATTTTCCGAGTAATATCCAAATGTTAAATAGATTATCTATCTTTTATTTCAAGCTCAGTTCGATATATAAAGTCGATATATGAATGAAAGTAATAATTGTTAAATCATAAAACGTGGTCGATATATCAGTGATATGAATTTCATATCGTTATAATAAAATATATTTATATATTTAAAAGCCCTCAAGAATAAATACTCTGCCCCCTCCATAACTTCCTGGCATAATTAGAATAACCATAAACGGTATCAAAAAGACAATTTAATGATATTTAATCAATGCCAAATGTGACAATATCGTGTACTATACAACTTATCCAAACTAGTAAACCCCAGACACAGCATCCTCAGTGGAGCAACAAGAACTTATTTCAAAAAGTCCTTTCCACTATATTGTACAGAGCTTGATTGTGTGTTTTAGGCTTATAGTGAAATTCCACTCAAAGAGCTCATTTTCTTGTTGATGTAATTTTGCTTGTTTGTTTATTTGTTAAATTTTTGTTTTTATTTTCATTAATGATTTTAATCATGATTTTCATTTTTCATTGATCAATTTAAGAAAAAGGCTTTTGATTTATTGATTCCATAACAAAATCCCTTTGTTTATAGCCTGAGTTTCTCTTCATTAATTTATAATTTCGTAGCTGGATTTTTTATTCTTCATGTATATATTAAAACTATCATGGGTAAGTTTTTTTGCTTATGATTTACAATTAGATTCTGTGTTGGACTTAATGAATTACACTGTAACTGAGTATACAGATCTATCCTCGCCCACTCTCTAATACCTGTACTTAAGTACCTATAATCAGCAATCAAAGAACCACTCGTGTTACCGTGTCACTCGTGTTACCGTGTCAAGTGCTCCATTATTTGGAGAGTCAGTCGCCTTTTACGACAAGCAATTGAAATTTCATGGTTGGAGAGTCAAGAAGATTGAAATTTCATGGTTAAGTAATGTTCTCTTGTCTACTTTTATCTCGTTGAAGCACAAACTCTGATAATCAAAGTTTGTAATAAAAGCCAATGAAACTTTTTCGTATAAAACAATTTTCGTATTAGATATACTCAGGTACAAAGTACTGGTATTTGTAGAATCCACATAGGAACCGTCTGAATATGGAGGGTAACGATTAAAATCATTAGCCCCTTTCCTTGTTTTACTTTATAAACCAGCTTACACAAATCACTTTGACTTCAGCTTTCAAAATCGGCAGCAATGGCATTTTCCTTAGGCCTACCTTAAGTGTTACATTAATACTAGAAATGTCGCTAGTAGCTTTTTTCACCCAATGATTAATGTTTTAGTACAGATTAATATTGGAGCAGAATATTTAAACAAACAGAATGACAAGATTTATAGAAATTCAGCGTCTATGGACGAAGAAGAATATTCCAGATTTTATAAATTAGAAGATTTTTCTGTTGAGTAATTTCTGGATTTGATGTGAAATTTACGACTGGGAATTCTTTCACAGGAAGCGTCTCTCGTTACCCTAATGAAGCCAAATGATCACAAAACATGCGCTGTCCCGAATGTGATGTTCGATTGCGCATTCTGTCATAGACAAGCAGAAAGCCGTATAATTTGTTGTCACCTCAGACTAGTATTCGAATCCAGAATCTCCATTTTTCGCTGCTATCGCATTCCTTGGATTTATGGAGAACTCGGTATTGTCTACTTACACGCCATATAAATCCTCCGTTTATGACCACTGTAATGGAATTACTATTTGTATTTTATGTCACTCTGGCTTAGAGCACTAATACTTTATGTATATACCCCCCACATTTATATTAACGTTAATGTGATTCAGTCTCCAGAGAAACCTAAATCTGATGATCTAAGTTTGGAAAACTCTGTATCTTTACATTGTCTGTGAGACTGATCACGACTTGTTTTGTAACACGCTCGAGCCTTTACATGGGATCTAATTTTCCTTTGTGGTAAAATCAGTTGGTTCTCCTTCTACGTGTATCTACCCTCTCCCTCTCCCTCCCTAATTCTTGTTCTATTTATATGAAATAATATGAATTGAATGTATTTATTGATGACATTTTTATTTGACCGATGCCTATGACCAGAACAGCTCTGATCCTAAGTAGACATTATAACAGTTGCTTTCTGTTCTGTAAATGATGTCTTCTTGAACAAACATATAAAACATTATTTAGGGCATTGCAAATGTTAAAAAAATTGATCACATTTTTATCCAGTGCTATTACATTACTACCTTGACCATACATTTGAGTCAACTAGGGCCTGACAGGTGAGTTTCTTAAGCTTCTTTACTTACCCGAATACTTCTCGCCTACCCTATTTCTTAACAAACTCTCGAAGCTCTCCTTGTTTGGGATGTAGATGTGAAAGTCTTGTTTGGCGATATGTTTGTTCTTATTTCGCTGGAAATGATAGATATATGCGCTAGCAGCCAGGAAACAAAACCTGGGGAACACAAATCGCTGCCCGTCCCCTTGGTAGATCAGTAAGGCACGTGACCATTTATGTGCTTGTATAATTTTGCCTATAAAGTCAGCAGTGGATTCGAAGTTTGGACCAATTCGAGTCAGTGTGGTATACTCCTCGAGACGGTTACTTTTAAAGTCATGAGCAAAGCCCCCCGGGGATATGACGGGAACTGCCCAATGAGGGGCGTACCGTGCCACGGGGGCGAGGCTGTAATCGTACACAGGACCCAGAAATACATGCACCTGATCGCGTTCCATCAGCTGCATGGCGCGAATAGGTGCAACGCGCGAACTAAAGTTTGTATCCACCAAATGTACAGTAAAATCAACTTGAGGAAGAAGTTGTTCACGGCGGACATAATCGATTCCAATTTCCACTCCTGGACTTATCTTCTTCAGGGAAAACATTCTTTGGGAAGGGTGCTGAGGCGCCAAGACAGTTAGGTTCACAGTTATGCATTCACATGGAAGGAGTTGGAAAATAATGCACATTATATAGTACAAAGAATATCCAAAAACACAAAGGCGCCGCAATAGACCAACCATATTTATCATATATAGCATTTGTACTGAGGACTTCGGTAACCTCCACAGTTAGATTGTAATCACTTTGATGAAATAATCTACATAGGTGAAGTTCCGAAACTAAGTAAATAGCTTCTGCACACAATCGCTCAATTTGATTAATTAGTGAGTAAATTTCTGATTTAATGAACTCTATCTTTGTGTGAAGTATCTAAAAGGATTATTAATTTCCCATCACGTATTTCCCAGTGGTCAGTTAAGCATTGTTTGTGGAAAATTAAAAAAAAAAAAGACAAAGAAAACAATAGATTTTTGATCGTCACGCATCGGAAGCTGTTATTTCCGCCATGTCTTATCTCCACGGCCCGGCTCCGACCGGAAACAGCCGAGTATCCTATAGTAGTCTTACTTATTACTGTTTTCACTCAGGAATCCGGAAATAATTTCTTATCACAACCATTTGTAGAAAATAATAAAACAAATTAAATAAATGTGTTTTAAATCAACAAACAATCTACATGTGTGCGATATTACGAAGCAAGGAACTGCATTCCAGACTGTTTGAAGAAGGTTAGATACAAGTCTAATCTTCAGCAAATATAGTTCTAATTACTAGTAATCATTTTAATTATAGAATAAGTCTCTTTAAATCCTGTTTAATACAGTGGTAACTTTATTTTAACGCAACCTTCTTTCTCCTGAGAGGGTTAATTTTTTTTGGTTGGATATATCTTACAAACATCGTACGCCAACTGTAAATCAAGTACCAGTTTTTTTTTATTTTTCAGGAAATTTGAAATGTACATTGAACAACTAATTTAAGTTTGAAATCCTTGTATTTTAATTACACAATGTAAACAGAAAGATAAAAGTCTCAACCCTTTACAAATCCTGTTTAATACAGTGGTAACTGTCTGTAAACAATTTTTCAAAACGCTACTCCTCCTACAGTTTTTCTGATTTCAATATTACTTGGCACAGAGGGTACATAAAATAATCGGTTTTTTTTTGTGTTGCCATGGTTACTAAACATAGAATTTTCTGAGAAATTCCTTTAAAACGCTACTCCTCCTACAGTTTTGGTCTGATTTCAATATTACTTGGCACACAAATAGTAAATACATAAAATAGTGCATCGGTTTTTGATTCGATGAATGGTTTTTTACTAAAAATAGAATTTTCTGTGAATTACTTTAAAATGCTACTTTGAAATGATTTCAATATAACTTGGCACACAAGTAGACTACACTAAGGTACATAAAATAGTGCATCGGTTTTTGATTTTGATGAACGGTGTTGCCAGGGCTACTAAAAATAGAATTTTGTGTGAATATCCTTTAAAACGCTACTCCTCCTACAGTTTTGGTCTGATTTCGATATTACTTGGCACACAAGTAGACTACACTAAGGTACATAAAATAATGCATCGGTTTTTGTTTTTGATGAACAGCATTGCCATGGTTACTAAAAATAGAATTTTCTGTGAAATTCCTTTAAAATGCTACTCTTCCTACAATTTTGGTCTTATTTTTAATATAACTTTGCACACAAGTAGACTACACTAAGATACATAAAATAGTGCATCGGTTTTTGATTTCGATGAATAGTGTTGCCATTGTTACTAAAAATAGAAATGTCTTTGAATTTTGTTTAAAACGCTACTCCTTCTACAGTTTTGGTCCGATGGCAATGGCTTCTTTTATCATCCTTTGTTATAAGTACAAACCAGTAGAGCTACAGTCTCGACAGAGACTTCTGGTTTGTAAAAGTAGGCCATAATCCGACGACAAGGTCAAGAGAAAAATATGATTGCACCCAAAGGAAGTTCTTGTAACAAGGAATACACATTACGGCGGCTTCAAAAAGGAAAATTTAGTAAACTCAAAAATCCTATTTTGTGTAGTTGTGGTGTTTGGGGCGGGGGATTCAACTTTTTCCACTGGTATACATTATATTTGTATGCTATTTAAACTTTGACAATTATTACTACTAGTTACTTTTATAAAGCCGTGTATCGCCTAATAGCTACAACAGGTTGGGCACATTTCCTTTTTCGGGGAAGTATTACCATAAAACGGGATTATTCCTCTTTCCAGTAATAAAACATTACTGAATTCGGGATTTTTGTCATATTTTTTTAATAATGCTGAACGTATTCAATCTCACAATTTTAACACAGGTACATAAAAGCTTTCGTCAGAAATCTATATCATAGAAATATTTCATCACTCTTTTTCAGCTTTTTGCAGCAACAAATATTGCAATTTTGAGCATACATACACTTAATAGACAATAAATATTTAGAGGATGTGAAAATTTTCTTGCACTTTATCTTTTATTCAAAACAAACACGAAAATAGAGTCTAAACGAGTGAAAATTCACGAATACAGTAATGTTTTTATTACTGAAAAGAGTATTTGTTCCCCTTTTTAGTAATACTTCCCCGAAAAAGGAACTGTGCCCAACCTGTACAAGGTCTTCATTTCAGCATTAACTGAATTCCATTTAAGGTAAAACTTAAAGTACATTGTTTCACAGTTTTGTTCAAGATACATAAATGAAATACAGGAGCTAATTTTGTTCAAGCACGGACATGAGTAAAATTTACCCATATGTAGTAGGAAACTTTTCCTTTGTTATCTTGTCTGATAAAAACCTAAATTAGATACATGCATCTTCGTTTATATATTTATAACCTATGATGCATTTCCTCAGATTGCATCCTCAAACACTGCATTTTTGAACATTGGTATGAAGAATTTATTGGGGGTAAATATGGTTGAACTCCTATTTCATGAACAAATGCAAAGAATAAACAGTCCTGAATTCTGGTTTCTCTGATTTGTCACTTTTCGAGACGTTTACTTTTATGTCATGTTGCCCCCCCCCCCCACCCCGGTACGTCTGTAGGGGATTTCTCAGTCTATATATAGGTTGTGCCTGATGCTATTAAGCTTTGTTGTATAATTACATTATATGTAATAAAAGAGCTCTTGTTTGTCTTTGTGGAACTCATAAGGGTGGGAAAAATACAATTAAAAAAGGAAAAAGTTCGCAATAATGTCGGGAAGAAGTGTTCGATTGATTTGTTGCATATGGCAAACTGAGCACGCGTGGATTAAGATATTTCTCAGTAAGAAAATAGAAATTCAATACAGAACAGTCTTAATATGAATTAAAATTTCAGGAGCGTGCTACGTTTGAAATGTAAAAAAAACAGTTCCCTTCTGATTTAACATTTTTAAACCACGAAAAATGATCGGCATTTTCATTTCATCAAAGAATAGATGTGAGCCAAATAGTCAATGTCAATGCTACTACTTCATATTGTTTGGGACAATTGTGTCGTTGAGGAGCAAATCAAAGTAGATAACATTTATTGACTGAGAAGGAAAATGCTCAAAAAACCTACATGCTTCACGCACAGTACTATTCCTGAAACATAATTATATCATATGCTTTAAAAATCTGTGCTGTCTTTTTGTTGACTAATCATACTAGATAAATGTATATTCTTCCTGAATTAAGAATGAATAAACATGGTTGCTTTTTATTCAGCTCTTGTCGAAATGAGAGAACATCTGATGAAAACAAGAATACTCGAAAGAAGTGACAGTCCAGGATTTTTTAAACGTTAAAGAATACGAAAATCTTATAGCCTTTGTAAACAAAATAGAAAATCGATTTCCTCTATTTACGTGTAATTTTGGTCCTGATAGAAATGGAAAATATTCTAGCCATTAATGAAAATATTAAGGTATAAACTAATAAATCTCAGAAATGGACTTTAATAGGTTATGTTGATATTATATGAAAAATCACGTCAATGAAATATGGAGACAACGAACATTAATCAAGCAAAAGGTACATACAGTTTATACAGAGCGGAGCAAACACGAACCACTTAGAGGTAAGATCAGGTGCCATGGAGTAGTAAGTATCCCCTGTCCTCCGTTTACCAGCATGTTCTCTTGTCATGACCCGGCAAACGGAATAATAAGTACAACAGTGTGTAAATAATGACCTTATCGTATGATAATTATTCGTATGAAAAAACCTCGGAAAGCATTATGTTTAAAACATTAATTTAAAAATCATACCTTTGTAATTACTAAAGGTGTGAAAAACAGACACTGAGACATCGGCTAATAAATTGTATCTCTCCTTTACAAAAAAGTAGAAAAGTAAATGATAGTTAAATGTAGAAAATCAAATATTTCATTAAAGAATTATTCAGACTGATATATTTTCCTTTTTTTTAACTTCTGAAAGTAATTTTCTAATATTAAAAGAACTATATCTTTTATATTTACCTATATTTTCAAAACATCATCCCATTGGTATGTAATATAAATAAAATATTAAGGTTCTTAAATTCAAAAAACATTCTCGAAGTAAGTTTCATAGAAAATCAAAGTATTTACTAATAGTTAACTATTGTAAGTTTTTTTGTAACTGGCTTTGCAGACGACACACACCCAACAGCGGATAGCTACGGATTTGAATACTTCAGTTGGGTAAGCTTAATGGTCAATATTTTGTAATGTGACAACATTATTCACGTGAATTTTTTGACATCTTTTCTCCTTTTCCAATTAAAGGAATCAAGATATTCATTAATTTTAACAGTGTATAAAGATTCCAGAAATTATTCCAATATGTTACAGTACATCAGGTGCACTCATTTAAACGGAAAACAGTTCATCTCAATATTGACCTAAAAGATTTTACTGGTTTGGATAGAAAACCTATTGAGTAATCCAGTTCAAAATTTTACACAGGTATAAAATGCTGACCCCCCCCCCCTCCTCTTTTTCCATACAAACTTTTCTCTAACTTCAACATATTTGACACGCAGAATATTTACGAAAAACAAACAATAAATGTGCATTCCTCTGTCGGATGTTTTATACTGATAATATTACCACTTGCAGTCACTTGATTCTAAGAGGTACTCAAGGTCTAGAGTTTTAGACTACATGTACATGCATTTTGTTCCCAATTGTACTTTTATTCTACAGATTTGAAATATTATAGTATTTCTAGGACGTCATCAAAAGGTTACTTCTTGGATTGAAACAATGAATGATCAAGTGATGAAATTGTTAAAAAGACAAAAATAAAATGCCAGCATTCTTACGAAAGAATTTTAAAATAAACTTTAAAATGAATGCAATGGACTCTTAAAAATATTTTCAAATGGAAATAACGAAGAGACAAACTCAAGGCAGTATCTTCCTGCATCGATTCACAAAGTTATGGGGGCACTTTTCATAAAATTAAAAAAAAATGAATTTTTGCAATCTAATTATTATAAATTTAATTATATATAATCGTAAAACTTTATATTAAGTTGCTTATCCAGCTCACTGAAATAATAGGTATATACAAGTTATTTTACTCGGTAAGCGTTGTAGTTTTTAATATACGTGTAATGCGCACTAATGATTATATTAATATCAAGTTTTAATGTCCCTTTTGAGATATTTTCCACTCATGTTTAGACGCCACTACTTCTCTGCAGAGGGATGCAAATTGTAGCCTACATTCGTACTAGAGGTCATAGTGGTGAGGGATCTCATTCGTGCCAGCATCTATACTGCGTCACAGGATGAATTTTTTTGGTGCATTTTTAAAAAGCCCTTTTTGAGAATTATTTTTACTCATATGGAGGCGTCACCTCTAACCGGTAAAGAGCTGCATTTTTTTCACCTATACTCGACACTCAGACTGTCTCGGGGCCATTGGTGAGTGAGTGATCTTTTTCGTGCCAGCACCTACAGACACAGGGGACCTTGGTTTACATGTATAGGTCTCATCCGAAGGACCGGTCTCCACGTCCCACAGTTGGTTTCGAACCCGCGACGTAAGAATAAACTCCTTACACAGTGACGCTAGACCAGACGCTCTTACCACTGCGCCATGTGGGCGGATGTGTATTGTACTATAGTCTTAAAAACTTAAACTATTGCTCGTCGATGTAATTGCTGCCAAACTATATAGTCCGAGATTCCAACATAATTTCTCAACAAGGTACATGAAGGTCGCATAATTAGTAGGTAAATGTCTCAAGACAACTATCGTTATCTTATATCATGTTTGATAGCTGTATCTACAATCGCTTCCTTCCATTAGTGGTGGCGTTATTTCAAAACTTGCAAATATATGGTATACGCCATTACAACCAAAAATTGACGTCTTAATATAATACAGTGGCGGATTTAAGGGGGGGCGCACCCGGCGCGCGCCCCCCTAAAATTTCAAAACTTTTCAAAATCAAATATATGGGTATTTTAACCCATTACAACCAAAAACCCCTTTAACTCCAAATCCGTCCGCTTATATAATATGTTTCATTGATTTGTATAATTATGTAGCTTCATAGTGCTCTATTTTATAAACTGCATAGGCCATAATACCGGATATTGATGGCACAAATCTGTAAAATATAATTATGTTGATGATGACGCAGTGCAGCATATGTGTATACCAGAAGAAGTATAATACAAGTATATTCCTCCTACCTGAATACAGTCCACCGATTCTCTTGGCCAGCAAGTCGTCCAAACTTTGGAATGAGTTTGTGTATGAAGTAATGTCTACATCATACTTTGATCCTATCATAACAGTGTTAAAGGATTCACCGGCAAAAGAATAGTATTCGGGAAAAAGTGATGTGTATTCAGTACGGCCTAGTTCATAAATGACCTTGAATTTGTCCCATTTATTGAAAGAGAGGATTTGAATAACCATCCTGATCAGGTCACCAAAGCTCGTCCCAATACGGGTAAGCGTGTGCTTGTCAAACTTGTCCTCAAAGTAGAAGGCGGACAGCGCCCCGGGGGTAATGAGGGGGATGTTCCAGCGTGAGGCGTACTGGGCCACTGAATTGACGGCCAGATCTCGTACGGGGCCAAAGAAAATGTGCGCTTTTTGATCCTTCATCTCGAATGCCTCTATAGTAGCGTCAATTTCTGAGCATTTGGAATTCTTATAGACTACTTTTAGATCCGCGCCTGGTAAAATTTGCATTTCTTTAACCTTTTCAACACCCAGTGAAATAGCCGGTCTCACTTTGGAAAGGCCAAACAAACTACATTCGTGATTTATGTCTGGAGCCAAAACACAAATGGAAACCTCGTGAGTTCCATGTACCCTCAATATTTTGAAACTGAACGCTAATAACCACATATAAATCCAGATCTGGAATATTTTCACCTGCTGCTGATGTGAAGCCATGACGAACTATATCATTCCTGAATTTTGAAAATCATTCAAACACATTAAACACTATATCACACACATTGTGTGTCAACCTTCACAGAAACCACACACCTCCAAATGGTCACATAGAAACTTAATCTAAATACTACATATAATCAAGATTTCCATTTGACAAGAAAGTGAAGTGGTGGCAAACCAGGGGCGCAGTGGGGAAGACTGTTTGTCAAAGGTCTTAGCCGTCTCCGGTGTGAATAGGAGGGGATCATGTATACCCCCAACATTCGACTTCCCTTAAAAAATCATGCAAACTTGTTTCCTTTACATCCTATTTAAATAAAAAAAAATAAAATGGCATTCAAGATTTAACCCCGTTTTGTGTGTGGTGCATGAAGATTACTGTAAAACCGGAAATAGCTGAAATCCGGTTTCTAATGGTGCTGACCTCGAAACATATTTATTGAATAATGTATACATCAGGGTTAGCTCAACTTAGTACTGCGGACACCCAAGTATCTGCAAATAGCCTACACAACAGGACTTAGTATAACTTAGACTAATACATGTATACAAATAACCTACAAGTATACAGCGAAATTATAGCCGCAATCAACAATTAAGACTTCCGTTTTCCAATGCAAATAAACCTGAATAACAAATGTTTTACAGGATTTGCAAAATTCTTATCCATTGTCAGCAAAATTAATATATTTGTTGTCTGTAATGCCCAGGTGCTAGAAAAATGTTATTTTTAAATGAATTTACAATGTAATACATGATGATGTTATAATAAGACACGCGTAAATATGAAATATTCCTTGTACAGTGTACCAGGATAATGAAAAAGCCACAATAGTAAATAATTATTTACGTACATAGAATACATACATGAAAATTGAATGTTCATGTCTAATTGATCACTGGTTAGCTGCAAGACCGCTCTATAGTTCATGAGTGTTTTTGTGTATAAATTTCAAATTATCTAATATAAAATGATGATTTTAACGAAGGAATTTCCGTCAAAGATATATATTTTTGGTGGATTTGATGCCAGCATATTTGAAGAACCGAAAGCAGAATGTTTACGGATTCCTTTCCACAAAAAAGGTACAATGTATGACAAGGGGAAAGTCTTTCACCATTATTTTCTACTGTATTCTAGAAATATAGAATCTATATATCTGTAGTAACACTCCTACTGGCTTCAACGATAACATACATGTACGAAATTTCGTACAGGTTTACTTTTAGACTTACCGGAAAATCTACAGAAGGAATTGGAACAAAACAGCTATGCATGGACGTATCTTTGGTATCGTATTAGTTAATACCTTTTCTTAGATCATCAGTTGTAACGGTTTGACATCATGATGATTGAAGAAACTGACAAATAAGTTTATTCTACAAGGATTCCATTAAATCCGTTTAAAGTCAGGTTTTTGCAAATTCTACAGTCTATATTGACTTTATTTGTACGTGTACACATGATTTCAGCTCTGGTTTTCCAGTTGTCCGTATATTTGTCTGATCGCGATTCGCATTCGTTTATATTTTAGCATAATTTCCATTCACATGATTTTTATGACATAATTGCTCTTCAACACTGAATCATATAAATATAACTTTTAAAGGAAAAACTGCTTCATATTCTAGCACTTGGGTACGTAAAGGCGAAATCAGTCTTTTTCTTATGCTGGAGTCTTGTATTTAGAGTACGTGGAATTGAAGATATTGCGAACTACTAATGAATGATACGAAAATGTGAAAAAAAAACAACCTTGTTTTGTTCAAGTGAACGAGATTGTTATTTTAAGAAACGAAAAGAAGAATACTCCAATTGATTTTTTTACAGGTTCTATTCAATGACTTTATTGTACATCTCTGTCTGAACTACCGGTATGTTGTTCATTTAACCATGTAAACTGAGAGTAAACAGGGCAGTAAATAAACAGAATTCATTAATATCTCGACAAAAGTGTGAAGGGTTGACAACATAGATTTCTCTGTTTTCTTGCAATTATGTTAATGTACATGGATTCTTCCACAATAACAAATCTATAATGTTTGTACAGGGAGTTGGAACTTCTAGGAGTTTCTATGTTATACAGCCTTGTTTATGGTCAGGTTTCTGGGGAGCTCAGAGTTGACGGAGTGCTTAGGATATATCAAGCCGGAGAAATATTGTCTGAGGGTCGGTAAAGTCAATGGATGATAGCCACCAATAATTCTGTTGTTTTGATGTTAAAAAGAAAGAGGTCTATGGGCCACAATGCTCGCCTGTGTAACTTATCTTTTCCTTATCAGATTTCCCCTTTATTATCAACAGACTTAAGTATATTCTGACCCCCCCCTGACCTTTTAGAATGATCCAAACTTTTGTCTTTAGGGTCACTGAATCCTCACCACTTTTTAATGACTAATAAGGCAGGTTTTTTGGTAGTCATCCTCTCCCGACCACAGGGGACATGAATTGAATAACAAGATTATATCAGGAAGCTGTAATATGATTTTCATTTTTTTTTCTAGTTTAGTTTATTTTGTATGTAAGTGTTTCTTATATATCTGTTTTATATCCAATGTACAACTTTGATTCCCTAGTATAGCCAAACCCTAACCCTCACCTAATAAGAAGTTTTAAGTTTAATTTATACAATTTATGAAAATGTACGGTACTATTTTTAATTACTTCTGTAGGCTTGACGTCTTGCAGAGCTCATTAAACAACGTATTTGACAGGAAATATTTTGGTTTTCGTCTCTACCTTCAAAGACTGCTGGAGAAATTATTGTGGACGATCCTACAGGAATACTTGTAAATATACGTACATCTAGATATCGACACGGTAAAAAGAAGAAAATGAAATCAAGAGTTATCACACGAATTTAATGAAAAGGATTGTATCGTTTTCGACATCATAAGGGGGCTTAATAAAATTTGATCCGGAAAATTAGCTTTAGTCGATCTGGAATCCCGATAATTAGGGCGCTCTCGGTATGGATGGACATAATTTCATTTGAACTGATAAAAATTGTCAAGAAACAAATTGAAATAGGATCTTTTTACTTTGTTAACGTTCAGATCCAATGACAAATATCATTAGAAGAAGAAACTAGCTTTAAAGTGCATTAACCATTTTATCATTGGCCAGGGGGAGTAATGGTTTCCTTAATGAAGAAAAAGACAATGTAATGGTGTTACGCCGAATCGAAAAGATATGATTATTGCTTCATTGCAGGCATATTTTCCATATTTCAAACCTGAGGGACACATTACATGTTTTATATTAACACATTATTCCGAAAGTTTGCAACTGTAACTGTAATTTAATTGAAGAAATATGGCAAAGTAATTGTAACTTAATTAGATACCTTGATATGTAATTTATACTATCCCCGTTTTTAATTTTTGTTACCCAAGTCGGACTGTGTCGTCAAGAAGTTTATTTTTCGACCCTTTTTAAAGAACCCTTTTGTTAATTTCAACCAAACTTGTTTCTAAGTTAGAACCCTTTTGAAAAAATCCGTTAAACAACCATTTTAACTTGTTTCAAAGCATAGATTAATAACATAGGAACTTAAAATTGTTGTTGATAACGATCAGACGACTTATGCCCCACCTCTGTGTAACTGAGAGAAAAAACTACACCAGTTTTTCCTATCATATGTATATTTCAACAAGCTGTGTAAATTTCAGAAGCTAATTAGATAACGTCGAGAATGCCACGCCTTACTGAAACTAAGCGTGTAATTCTTCTAATTCAAAAATAGTTGTGAAAATCCTGTCTATAGATTCATTGAGCAATCGATTGATAAAATTCATCAAAAAGCTTTATTCCGTATATTGAATGTTTAAATATTCAATTCATTTTCTCCGAAACAAGATTGGAAATTTAACTAAACATAACTAAACTAGTTTTTTTTTCATATACAAGTCAAAAAAGGGGAGGAGCAAACCCATGTAGCAAATCGAAGCACATTATCTTCAGAAATTCTTCAGATTTACCAGATGTGTTCATTCTTCTTAAGAAATCTTGTATTATGTTTGTTTGAATCAGGCAATACACAATACCAGTGCTAACTTTTCAACTCTCAGAGGAGTACGATTTGTGCCCATCGAAATTCCACCAATCTGTAAAAGACCTAGTCTCCGAAGGTTCAAAAATCAGGGTATTTTTGTGTAGAATTAGAGTTATTTTTAACCAAGGTATCTGGCTGATGATCAATAAATTATTCATTACAAGACAGGGAAATTTACGAATTCTAATTTTATTGAAGAAGCTGTACCGAGTTAAGACCTAAATTGAAACTCTTCATCAGTAACTGGTGACGTCTGTATCAAAATCAGTGAACAATTCTCGGAATGAACGTAAATCATCTGACAATAAATCAATCAATATTGATGAGACAGTTGTCTTTGATATCAAAAAGACTTGATTTTATGAGAGTTCGAGATAAAGAATTGTCCTTTATATACATGTATATGAATATAAGTATTCAGACTCAAAGGTTTATATATTAACAGTTCAAATCGAGAAGATAGTAAATATTGTCCTCTAAGAGCATATTAAGGACAGATGATACAAACAAACTTTTGTCAAAGAATTTTGAAAATAAGAACTTGGGTCATGTTTAAATAAATAAAATGAATAACTTTCACAGCTGTTTTTAATATTTTACTCACAAAAATGGAATTTGAAGTTAAAAATATTTGTATAGATTAATAAGGATGGTTTCAGAAGGGCAGACTTTTGAACATCACAGAAGGTTAACAAATTCTTTATATTGTAGAAATCTATTATTTGTATCACTTACAATGAAATTAGGCCAAAAAATATATACCAATCCAGGCATCCATTTTTTGTTTGTATCATCTGTCCTTAAGTGATATGAGCTTTAACCTACACGCTTCACCACCTTAAAATCCCCACCCCACAAGTTAATGGAAGAGTATATGTATTTGTGTTTTTGTATCCCAATAATATATTGTACATGTATTTATTTTATCCCAATAATTGAATCAGACCTTGTCATCAACCAGAAAATCAGGAAAAATGTCCTCGTCTTAAAGCCGATAATGTTCAGTAAATGAATATCTTTATGGAGCGTAATCGGATTAGTGGTGATCTGAGGTAAATACTCCTATGTTAAAAGACTCATCAAAGACTACTGATCGATACAGGCCTCGTATTACAGACTTATCATGAACGACATTTTCACTGTAAGATTCAAACTCACTTAAAAAAATGGGTTGTTTTTTGGTTTTGTTTTTTAAATAAGTTCAAAATCATCAATGTTTGATGCAAGCAAGAGAGATAACTGAGATACATTGATCTATAACGCCTCATGTTTACTGTCCCTAGCACAATTCCTACGTAACTTTTAACTGTCATATAAACATTACATCTCCTCTTCATTCGTTGTTAAAAAATTGTAATTGATTTTCATGATATTGAAATATTCTAATATCCGAATTAATTACAAATAAATTTGAAAATAAAAGCATTAGTATATACATAAAGTTTTATTTCATTTTTATTTCATGTTATGTTGCCCTCCACTGATACTGGATTCATCATATATATTGTTTTGTATTTATTTATCATATTTGGT